AAAATGCATCTGATACCCCTTTCGAACTCACTGATGGATCTTTCTGCTACAGGTACACTACGTTATCCTATAGAGCACCAGAAATGGTCAACCTGTATAGTGGCAAACTTATTACTACAAAAGCAGACATATGGGTATGTATAAAAACCACTTAACATCATACAACCCGTCTGCCGCTTGCTTTCGTTACCGTAATGGCAGGGTAACTTTCTGGCTGGGGCTAACCTAGTTCCCATAAGAGACGGGACAGTTTCTGGATAAAGAGTTGCTCCGCTTGACGTTTCTGATGAGTTACTGCTGAGCAGGGTGGCTTGTGGATAAAACACGCGCACTTCTTCGCATGCTGCCTCCCATGTGGTTTTAATTTAGAGATGTATGAAATGCCAGGGTTGAACAGGGCAAACCTGATTTTTGTATCTTAAAACGGAAAATTCCGAGTATTGTGACTTCATGTGCCTGGGGTGGGTTGCAGGCACGTGGAATCAAAGTCACTGGTCAGAATTCAGTAGAAAACTGAGAAAATAGACCTTCCCTCAGGAGCAACGCTATGCTTATCCTGGACAGTGTAACATGGGTCCGAGTTGTCAAACCTGGCCAAAGACTAAGCTTTTGCATTGCTGTTTCTAATGATCGGTGCAAGCTTGCCACGCTTCTCATACCGAGAGCAAAACGCAACCGTGGTATAATCTGTTACTGGTTAACCTGGTCAAGGATGGAAGGCTTCCCTTTAGTTGGGATGGAGATGAAAAAAAGTCTATGCTGTTTGACTTGTAGTGGCAATTCAGCAAATGGGCTGTGCTTAAAATGCTAATTCAGCGCCTGTTTGTATGGTTTCTGAAGCCCTGAGCTAGGAAGTAACGAGGCAGAAGCAGTATAAGGAGAGTTTTAATGTATCCTCAATAGCTCTGCATCTGCATATACAAGAGGGAAAATTGCTGGCCTGACATCTGCTGGGAAGAGTTCTCCGTCCTCTCTGCGAGCTCCAGTCAGAGTCAGGAATGCAGCAGCAGCTCCTGTGGGGCTGTTGCAATCAGCAGGAGATTTGTAGAACCAGGCCCTGTACCAGTGCCGGGTCGCTCACCTTGGTGTTGGAAACCCGGAGAAGGAAGGTCACAGCTGTAACAGCATGAAAAGACTCTCGGGGCCTCAAAGGCAGCCAGAGGAGAACCTAGGATTTGTGCTCCTTCCTGTGATAATGTGGAAAGGCGGAGACCCAAAGGCCCCAACTGCTCTCCTCTTCCTGGCATGGAACGAATTCACTTCCAGTGACCTGCTGAGCGCTTCCAACCGGGTGTGTGGTGGTGTGCAGGGCCTCGACTGCGGGCCTGCCGCAGCGCTTGTTCTGCTTGTAACCTCCCTTGCCTTAAGTCTCATCGAGGCTATTTTAAACTGGAGTGCAATTTAATTGTGAAATCCTATGACAAAAGATATAAGCTGCTGATGAGTTGCTCAGGATTAGGAAATGTTTCCCCCTCTCCCCTCTGAGATGGTGGGAGGGTTTCATAATTAGCCCTTTTGTGCAAAACTTGTATTTTCTTTTGAAATAGGTGGTTGTTCTTGCTGTCAAAAGCAGCACGGAAATAGAAGGAAGGGTGATATAACCTAGCAGCCTGCAGACTTATCTGTGTATCTCTCCCTGGTACATATTTATAACGGTTGAAAGGTGGTTTGAGCTTAAGCTTGGAAACAGTTTGGATTTTTCTTTGTCAGAATAAATGTATTACAGATGATGGTTGCCATTTACCTTTTGCTGTTACTTTGCTTTTTCTTTCCGGGCTTTGCCCGTTTAACGACATGGAGGGTTACGCTACGTGGAGCTGGGGGGGGGTGATGGTACTTGCACGATCCCCCAGGTTGCAGTATCCCAGCCTGGCAAGGGGAGAGCTCTTCACGGATTTATCTTCCCATATAACTATGCTTGTTTTCAAGACGATCACAGGGATGTTAAAATGTAGGCCTGACGTCACGCGTGACCCCTGTAGTAGAACAAGCTCCCTGTTATCTACAGCGGTATTTGAATTGTACCATTCCCTGCTTTGCTTCCGTTTGTTAAATCCTTTGCTCTGTTCTCTCTCTTCAGGCCCTTGGCTGTTTGCTGTACAAGCTGTGTTACTTCACCTTGCCGTTTGGGGAGAGTCAGGTGGCAATCTGTGATGGCAACTTCACCATTCCAGATAATTCTCGGCACTCGCAAGACATGCACTGCCTCATCCGTGAGTTTCTGTGACAGTGGCATAATCCACTTCCGCAGGACTAAAAAAAATAGCGGAGGTGTTTATTCTTATATTCCCTGCTCCTACAGTAAAACAGTTGGTGTTTCTCTTCTTTTAAGAGACTTGCTTGCACACTGGGGTGGATAAAGTGATCTTTTAGTAGCTTAGGCGGTCACTCTTCGAAAGAAATTATGACAAAGAGATTTCTATTTGGCTAGGCTGTAGTGAACTCCGCGGAAAGGCAGGAAAACAGACAACCATTTGGTTTGAGAGTCCTACAGAAACTTGCACAATAAGCCTATTTACGCAGAAACGTATTTCTCCAGTAATAAATCTATTTGGATAAGGAACTGAAAAGAACCACAGTGACTTAGACTAGTGATAAGAATTCATCTTCTGTGAATTGAGAAACAGAACTGCAATGATTTATAAATAACCCACTGACTAGAGTGAATGTGTAATTAAGGGTACAATGCGCTACTCTTGGCAAAGCTGGGGCTGCTCTCTTGTTTTCAGCGCAGCATTTGATTTTTTTTTTTTTTTTTTTTTTTTTTTTTTTCCTTTCCCCTAGCCACAATCTTGACTAACACAGAGTTGGATGTGTTTGCAGAGCAGCCTGGTATTTTCTTTGCTTATGCAAAGGCTGTGGTAGATGTGGCTGGGCTCTTCCTGCCCCACTGATACCCCGAGGCTGGATCAAGCTCTTTTACTGTGGGTTCACTTGGAAATGCAGAACTCAAACCCAATGCTATTCCCTGACCAGGCAGCTGCGTTTCCCCTCCTTGCCCTAGAGCTTTCAATAACAGCTACAAATCTTCAGAGCTGTATTAGAAAATATCTCCTAGTCCATCCTGACTGTTGCGCCCCTTTCTGGCCCTGATGATCAGCTCAGCCCTGCGGACCACCGACTGGGTGCTTGGAAAGAGGCAGGGCACCCTGTTAGCGTCTGGTTCTACCAAGTGTAGCTCTGCCACATCTGTCTGTTCTGTTGCTCTGATATTAGTGTCTCTGTCTTTTAAAGGGTATATGCTTGAGCCAGACCCCGATAAGAGACCCGATATTTATCAGGTCTCCTACTTCGCGTTCAAACTGGCAAAGAAGGAATGCCCAGTCCAGAACGTCCAGGTGAGTAGCAAAGGAGAGGACTGATGCAGGGCTTTGTGGGCAGAGGCTGGAGGTGGCAATTGCTGAATCTTGAGCCTTCTGCCATATTCTGTTGGTTGTTCCCCAGTTCTGTAATTAGGAAGGTCTCTTTTTTTTTTTTTTTTTTTTTTTTTTTTTTTAATTAGCTCTGTTTTGGGGTGTGGTTTTGGGGGTTGAGGGCAGGAATCAGGGTATTTTCTCCTATGTTTTTTATTTCTATTTGTCCCCAATTTACCTCCTCACCCAGTTACCAGTGTGAGGCCAAGCAAGAGATCTTGTGCATGTGAACATGGAAAATCAGGCCATGCTTGTGAAACCGCTTTGATTTCCAGGCACATTCATCATAGCGTGTGTAATTTGTGCTGCAGTTGGTCTTAAACATAGCAATTCTGTGTCTGCCGTCTGGCTGGGACTAGCCAACTTGCGTTTGAACTGCATCAGACCTTACCCAACCATCTGCCCCTTCCTAGTGTATCTTTATAGGCTGCAGTTGAAAAATAGAGTTGACAAGTATTTTCTTACGGTGTTATGGACAACTGTGACATGACATTTTATTTTGTTGTTTCCAGGTAAAAAACAACCTTCCCCCCATGTTCAGGTGGTTCGTTATGGTCTTTACGAATAAGACATCGTTTCGCTACCATTATGCCTGTATTTTTTTTATAGCAGTATTAATAAACTGCTGTTTATATATATAGCTATATATATAGCTATATATATAAACAGCAGTTCCCCCATGTTCAGGTGGTTAGTTATGGTCTTTACGAATAAGACATCATTTCGCTACCATTATGCCTGTATTTTTTTTTATAGCAGTATTAATAAACATCGCTGCTGTTGTCTTTTAAAAACCACTCAGGTTGTGCTATGAGCTTTGTGCTCAGATTCCACCTGTAGTAAATGGTCAAAGAGCTGAACCGTATTTTTCCCTGGTAAAGACTCTCCCAAACCACTGTCTCCTCATGGTTCTGATGTTGAGCAGTTTGCCCTGTGTCCACCATGAGGAATAATTGCTTTGGATATCCCCCAATCTCCCCGTTTCATTGGGATGTTTTTTGCAAATTATTTTGGACTCTGTTTTCTGCCCTCAAAATATAAAACTCAGTGTTTTTGGGATCTGCAGAACTCTCCAATCCCCGCCAAACTCCCAGATCCGGTCAAAGCAAGTGAAGCTGCTGCAAAGAAGAGTCAGCCAAAGGCCAGGTAACCAAATCTGCGTTATGTTCAGCCCTCTTGCATTTTATTGTCTGTTGTCTTTCTGCTGTTTTTTTTTTAGGAAAGATGCTTGGTATATTTAGCTGCTTCCTTGGGGGCTTGCATTTACACGTGGAGACAAACACTGCAGTCCTGAGGCTTCTGCTTCAATGACATAAATAACCATTGATCCAAAAGGCAGAAAATGCAGATATTAGGGGAATTTTTTCTGCGTGGGGTGGGGCTCAGGCAATGCTCAGGATGACTCAACAGCTTGGCTTTTTGTTCTGAAGACACTGCTTGACAGCAGCGCTTGAGGTTCATGCCCTTAGATGAATCTACTGTGTCATCCCTCCGGAGGCGGTACCCAGCGTACCTGAGAGCAGCGTCAGGAGAAGACTGCAGCTGGCCTGCAGTGGGGCTGGAACTGGCCCAAAGAACGCCAGTCTGCGGAGAAACCGCATCGGGGACTATTGCTGTTTGAGTTTGACCCTCAGCAGATGATAACCTCACCCAGTAATCGCTGTGTGAAACTGCTGGGATTTCTGGAAGAGTCCTCTAATTTCTTCTGGGGACGGCGACATGGAAGCCCAAGCAGTCTCCATCTGAGGAGCCCAATTAGTGGGGAAACCACTGTACTGCTGTGGTTTTTCTCCTCTCCCGCTGCTGCTTGCTCTGCTTATGATACTGTAATGAAGGCTTGTAACTTCTGTTGGACAAAGCTTGTGTCTTATTTCACTGCAAAGTGAGTGGGACAGCAGTGGGCACTCCAAACCCAGCAGTTTGCTTCAGAAGTAGGGCCTGTTGTCTCCTGTCTGTCTGTCCCAGGAGTCTGCTTCGTTTTTATAATTGAGTGCAGTCACCCTCGTATTAGTAGAATGACTTGATCTCTCACAAGCAAATGTATCCAGAGGGGCGGGGTAGTGTCTGGCTTCTTGACTCTTGCTATGCATTTTTGGAGCTCGGGAAATACTGAGCAGGGATCAAAGAGGTCCAATGGCCTCGTTCCAGGATAGATGTACTAAAGTTAAGGTATTTCTAAAGATGGCAATTTAGACAACTCTGCCCAAAGGTACCAGCTGCTCTTAATTTGTTGTGCCCTTCATCTGCCCATCCAGAACTCTTAAGTGGATTTAAACAATATGTTGTAGCAAATATTTGAATGAGTTGAGTGGTTTTGACAAATTCCAGCTGTCCAGTAGGAGAAGATGCCACAATTGGCAAAGTTGTCAAAACGATAGCGTTGGATTAATTGTTGTGAAAGCATCCGTTAAGTTTTACTGTGCTTGCAGTTTTCTGGAAACAGTTGACGTGTGCCCACACCTTTATCGGTCACGTACCGCTAAAGTATGGATGAGTTTTTAAACCGGTACTGTGTGTTGCATGCACCAACTGTCAGACTGTGCTCTTACTGCTCTTCCATTTATTCCTTACCTTATTTTCTAGGCTGACAGATCCCATCCCTACGACGGAAACTTCCATAGCACCCCGCCAGAGACCTAAAGCAGGACAGACACAACCCAACCCTGGAATTTTACCCATTCAGCCAGCCCTGACGCCTAGGAAGAGACCCACGGCCCAAGCAGCCATTCAGCCACAAGGTGAAATGATACCCTCTGTTCCGTGTCTTCCTGCGAGGCACTGTGTTCCGCAGGGCTGTGGTGCACGTTGATCTAATGTATCTGCATGTGTGTATATATATATATATATATATAT